TCAATTGCCTCAATATTAATCATGCCGCTGTTTACCTAAAACCATGCCATGCACGCCCACACAGGTGTTTCTAATTCTGGCTTATTACACAAGAAAAGCACAGATGACTAAGTGTCCCAATAATCAGTGACATTGTGAGTCAGCATTATGTACAGTTTATGATAGAGGTGTAATTTGTCCAATCCAAACATGTGAAACAAGCTAAAAAAAAGAGCCGAAGAAATGCCATTTGAGCATTGTCTGCTAACACGGCTCTGAGAAAATCAACATGAGTTATTTAAAGCACCTATGTGAGTTTAACAAGGGTGTGCAGAGCCTTAAAGGTCAAATGTGATTAACGTATCGAGAAACACACCAACTTGGGAAATAATGTAGGATTAGGCACAAGGTAATCTGCATTCAGAAGCATAGTTCCAATTATATTATGTACTATTTATCTTTTTTTTATTTTTAAATGGGCATAGAGAAGCTGTGTGTGATGCCCTCTTGTTTCCACCTATTCTTTGACATTGATTTTGAAGTGTAACCCCTCCTCCACATCATTTCATTGCACCATTTCCTCTGGGTGATTTTCCCGGTAGGAGAAGAGTGTCACGAGGGATGGGAGGAAAGAAGCAGGAGTGAAAAGGCGTTGGTATCCTCCCATTGATGTCAGCTAGCATCAATGAAAAACAATGCAAGCAGGCCTTTCACCTTTCAAGCTTCCTCAGTTAAAGTTCAAACTCAGGCAGTGGCATTATGTCCAAGCCTGGGTGAGACATGGGTACAGCAATATCATACTTCCTAAAGATCAAAAGTAACACACCACACATTTCCAGAGAACTGAAATCATACCTCTGGGCACAGACTGAAAAACCAAACATAGTGGGCTTCTCAAAGCTTGCACAAAGATTTCCCTTCATTTCCTGAATGGAGTTCCTTTGTGCTGTTTAAACTTACAAATAAAAAGATGCTTCAAAGCCTTCTCTTTACTCAGTGAGCATACACCCCTATAGAGATGGAATATATAAGACACAATGCAAATATTCAAGGGCCCTATGGAAGACCTACTGAAATGTGAGATATATGCAGAGAAGATGCAAGAGCAGCATTCTGTGAGCTGCTATCTAATAATTGTCACAACACTGAGGTGCTGTTAGCGTTCAGCGTAATCAACTCTGCTATCAACCGTCTTCCCAGAAAAAACATGCTGATTCTTTTATCCCTCACCAAAAGTGTGTGAGCAATGGAATTACACTCTTTAAAGATACTGTTTTTAAACCTGTTTTTCCTTCAAAGACGTGTCAGTCATATGAAACGTGTCACGAGCTCTTCCAGGAGGTCTTTGATAAAGTCAATCCCAGCATTTTATCAGTCATAAACAGCTCTCTGGCCACCAGTATTTATCACGTTTCAAGCAAACAGTAGTTTAGAATCCAGCCTTGATCCCTTAATCCTAAATAACTATCAACCCAACTTAAAAATGCTCTTTTCCGGCAAGTTATTTGAAGCCAACTGAAAATGATTTTGAGTAATTTTATACTTTTGAGACCTATTAAAGTAAGACAGCCCATCATAGTCTTAGTTTAACTGGAGATAAAGATCACATCACAACTTAAGTACTTTTGTAGCTATAACAGAAGTGAAAAAAGATTGGTTACAAACTCACTGAAGATTAACACTTATTTTGCAAACAAGCCCTGATAAACCTACTTCATGCTATCCAGCACTGCATAACATACCATGACACACCAAAAAAAACATTCTCAGTGGTAAAAGATCATGTACCACAAGTTGTATACTCTTTCTGGGTCCCTGTGACTTTTTCCTCTGGTATTCCTGTTGTGCTCATAGACCTGTGTGGAATTTTGGGACTCCTCGCTCAGGAATGCTTCCCATTTACCACATGTTCTGCATTTCCCGTCCAATAGTACCCCTGGAATTTCTGTAGGGGGGAGCTACAACAATTGGACTATTGTACATAGGTATGTGACCAGAAACAAAACTGCCATTGGGTGATTCCCGTTCCATTTTATAAGGTTATAGAAAGGTTTTTGCACTTATTTTTGCATTATTTTGCCTAACAGAAGGTAATGGCCTGTTTTGATCAAGGTAATCTCCAGGGATTATTAATGGATTTTTTTTCCAGCCAAATCAAAAGAAAACCATTCAGGGTTTCACATATTCTTGAGTGTTTTCACTCTTTACACAATTTTAAAAAGGCCTTGTCTTTATTTAAAATGGGGTAAAATTATGTTTATTCCTTTAATCCTATATCTCTCTGTAAACTATAAAAGATACCATTATGTTTCCTTTCACCTCGTCGTCCCTTAAATAATCAGAGGCCAATATCCCACAGACACATCTTGACTTTGATGCATTCTAACAAGGACTAGACCTGTTCCACTAGAACATTATTAGTTAACTGATAATCGCATTGTTAGTTGTTTTTATACTTCTGGTATACGTGCTGTTAAACTCACAACATCTCTGTATAAAAGGTGTAATCTGCTTACATCTACAATGGTGATTTCTTTATTGTATGATAAACCTGGCAGGTTCCCTCTGTATTAGTAAAGTGTATCTGTCTCTAAAAAAGAAAGAAAAGACAAACCCTCTGTTATGTATGTTCAAATGGACCTTAAAGTTGAGATAAACATTGGATGTTCAACAGAGTGACCTTCACCATCCACAAAGCAGCATCACAGACATGGCATCATCAATTATAGTTTTGTCTCATTGAAGTCCATCTTAAATAGCCTGATAATCAAACGGAATTGCCGGTTCAGTTCATTCATTACTTCTATTTGAATTGTGGAATCATTTCAAAGCGATCCAGGGTTTTGGAAGTAGGCTGAAAGTACATTGAATGCAACATCTTTGAACTATAGTTTATAACATCAATAGCATAACTGAACACTAATTATTGCTCTATAAATGTTTATGTTTTCATTATTGCATTTCTCATAGGGTGCCTTCATTTCCGTTAAACACTAAAATGGGATCTATAGGGCAATGGGCCAATATTACAGTATTAACAAAGTATCCGAACTTCATTTTTTTCAAATTTAACCTCTAAAAAAGATTGGTAAGACTTTTTTTTTTTTTTCTTCTTGTTAGAAGAGATGTATTTCACTGATAACCTCTGAAGACATTTCACCAATGCAGAATTTCTCTGCCTTTTTTGGCCCTTGACTCTAGTTTTTCTATCGCAAGCTTCTCATGGCTCCAGGTGTTGGAGAGTTACCCAGCTGCCATGTGAATAGGGCATACTTTTTTATATTCTCTTTCAAGAACTTGAATGGAATTGCTGAATTAATTATAGGCTATAGAAGGGATGATGTAATTAAAACTGGCTTAATTCTTACAAACATCAATAAACAAGTCTTATAAATTGCTCTGTCAAGGAGAGGAAACCTCTTCACCAGAGTTCTAATGTTATTCAGTTTTCATATTTACTGCCGCACATCTGCTTCATGTCAGTCATCCGTCAGCAAAAACTAAAAGAGAAGTGGCACAGCTTTTGAAAGATACCATATGTTATGATAATGCATTGAAATACTGTCTCGGCACCACAGATACCTAAAGAAATGTTGTTCCTGGGCAAACATGATCATCTCACGAGAATCACCTCACAAATTAAATATTTGTATATAATGTTTTTTAATGTGAGGTATGGTCTCCATCCAGTAGTCTACCATCCAGGTTGCGGTTGGCCCACCTTTCAATTAACAGTGCTACACAACTATATAATGCAAATTGCAGTCTTCTTAGAAATAGATCAGTAAGATAGTACAAAAACAAACAATACAGTAATCACCCATTTGTGAGTAGAAGCTCAACTGACGGGGCTTCTTCCTGAACATTTTGAACATGGGTAGTGGATTCGAATCCACCATGATCCCTGTGGGTGCTCTCCACGTGTCAGCATGGGTTTTCTTCGGGTTCTCTTATTGTGAAGCCCTGTGATGGACTGGCATCGCCCATTGTCAGCTTGGATTGGATATTAGTGTTTTATTCAGCTCTAAGAAAAGCCAAAGATGTCCCCAAACAGCTTGTGCAGCATAATCCAGGAGCTGTATACAAACTGTTGCACCATGTCCGATATTAACCTCATTATTGCCTTTATTTTCCTCCTGTGGAAAATTATCGCCTGAATGGACTGGGCCACTGACAGAAAGCAACACGAAGGAGGTAATGAGGCAAACATTAGACATTTGGACCCGCTATGCAATAGTTTGGTAATGATGAGTGTACAAGATGCTAAGGGGATTTTGATGAACATTAAAGGACATTACCGGTGTATTTTCAACGTTCAGTTCCTTAACATTTCGGCGAACAAATGCATTGCTTGTATTTCTGGTCGTCTCCATACATTGCTGTGTGATATTAATTATATTAGCAGGAGAAGGTAGTGCAATTCATCACAGTTAATGTTAGGTCTTCGTATTTTAAAATATAAAATGATTCGGTTTGCCATGATCGTTGTAGTGTCATATCATAATGGGATTTTCAAATATCATATACGTGAAAGGACTTCAGATCAGTACAATGTATTTCATATCTGCTCCTCCCACAATTTGTAAAGTAATCTAACATTAGATTTACTTCACTTGATCCAGAGTGCTAAATTGTTTACCGGCAAAATTGTAGTTTAGAGTGTATTGCTGTATGTACCGTTGAAAACTTTTTGAAAACTTTGTCCGCCCGAATAGGGACTTGAACCCTAGACCCTCAGATTAAAAGTCTGATGCTCTACCGACTGAGCTATCCGGGGCTCTGATAGACGTGTAACGCATTACGTTTACAAAAATGACACAAACACCAGGTAGTTTTGTGATTATGGTTTAAATGTTTGGTTTCAGTTCTTGAAATGTTTAATCGTCGAAAAAGAACAATCATGGCGACATAAAAAGTTACAACATTATGAACAGTGTGGACATTCAAACGTGTACACAAACAGACACAACAAAGCACATGCATACAATAAAAAAGGAAAAATACGACATGCAACCATTTGAAAAGCGAAATCCGCTTTTATAAAACAATAAGACAAACAGGACTAAATGTTCTATCTATATGGCGCTGGTTATAACATTATAAATCGTCATGGAAAGTCTTACGAGCCTTTATGGTCAACTACCGCCATCTAGTGGCCACGCTGCACAGTACAGCTGAGTATCTCGCCCTACGTCATACAATAATAAGGAAGTAGCGGTCCAACAATTAACACGAGTAGATTATTTTTGGGTGCCTTAGTCTTTATTACACGTTATATCTCAATGTAAACAACGAATACCAAAAGACAGAAGTCTCATCTCAAGAGCATACATCTGTTGGAACCAGTTTAGTTGTATTGTTGTCATCCTTTGTGGTCTTCGTGTGTCTCTCAAGGAGCTCTATGGAGAGATACTCACTCCAGAAAGTCATCGGTGAGGGCTCTTTCGGTCGGGCTTTGTTAGTTCGGTGTAAAAGCAGTCAGGAGAAGTATGTGGTCAAGGAAATCCAGCTTCCCAAGGTATGTAATTTACCACATATAACAGCTGTATGATAAGAGGTTTGTACTGCTGGCCTATCAGCCTATCCTTACATGTGTAATGGCACAGGGAACAGAAGTGGTGGACCCTGACAAAGTCATATCAGTAACACATTTGTTCTTCAGTGAATTCAACATAAACATATTTGAATTCAGACTGATATGTTATAGCCGGGGGTCGGATATGGAAATCCTATTTAACTTACCCTTGTTGCCCACACAGGGACGTGGGGGCCGGTGGTTTTGCATAACAGAGAATGTATTTGTGCTTGTATTTGCATTTTTATAGAATAACTCCAAATTGGAGAATCCGAGGAGGGAAGCCATCCTGCTATCCAAAATGAAACATCCTAATATTGTGACCTTCAGGGAGGCCTTCGAAGGTATTCACAAACCCAACTCTGTTACACAAGACATACAGTTGTTATGGTCTGGATTGTGGAATGTTCAGTGTGATTGTGTTTTTCCAGCTGATGGCCTCCTGTGTATTGCTATGGAGTTCTGCAGTGGAGGAGACCTGCTCCAGAGGATGCAACAGCAGAAAACTACGCAGTTCTCTGTGGACCACGTAGGCCTCGACTTCCTGCAATTATCCTCATTATTTTATGTTACAGTTTTGTTTTAAATTTTGTTTCATTGTATTTATTTTTCCAGATCTTGAGATGGTTTGCTCAAATGTGTGCTGCGGCACAGCATATCCATGATAAAAGGGTTTTGCACAGAGATCTGAAGTCTAAGGTACAGTAGTCCTTATAGTTTATACTTAAATATGTTTTAAAAAACTGTTAAAATACATGGATACATTGAACATAATTCATTTGTAGTTTGTTCTCTCGATTCGAACATGAAGTAGATCATTTAGTTTATTGGTTGAATGCATATTGATAAAATCTCATCATCGTGAGCGCTGTGGAGTGAAATGAACAATGATAAAACCGCTGATCGAGATAAAATAACAACATTATCTCCCACTTCTGCATAATATCATCATTTTGCAATGGTTGGCAGCTTAGTTTGGCTTCATGTTAAGTCATCACTTCTCTTTCATTTCCTTACCCAGAACATATTCCTGACAGATAATGGGACAATCAAGCTCGGGGACTTTGGCTCGGCGTGTATTCTGAACAGGTACAGGAGGAGAGCGGCCACAATTTACAATTTGCCTGCTGAGTGCTTGATTTGCTGCTACTCATTTTAACGGACTATTTTTGTGATTGTGTTGCAGCTCCAAGGCATACGCTAATACATATGTTGGAACACCATATTACGTGGCTCCAGAAATCTGGGACAACAAGCCATACAACAATAAGAGGTTTGCGTTTGTTGTGCAAGTGTTTCTCCATTTAATATGACAGATTAAATGTCAATGAAAGGAAACACACAGAGAAAGCTGTATACTTTGTTCTTTTTCATAATTGTGGCCTAGTTTTAGGACAAACTTTTTTTTTTAAACTCCCATTTGTAGTTCTTTCGACTTGGGGATACTCTATGTTTGTACTTCTAAAACCACTTGGTTATTTGTGATGTGGTTGCAAAGGGACGTAACATTTTTGGAAATGTTTCAAGGAAAGTTAAGACTTGGAACTTTGGAAAAATGTAAGATAAAACTTGTACTATTTTGACAGTCACTTGCATTTGCAGCCCACGTTATTTCACAGTTTGAACCAAGAACTACATTGTATTCATGTTAGATGTTGATTAAATTACCATTTTAAATGATATGTTTTAATATTGTTTATGATATTACAGTCAACCAGCAGATGGTAGCCTGATGCAAAGCACACACTGTGCTAACACCTTCTGCTAGTTGTTGTTAGCGAGCTGTTAGCATATGGGATGTAACTTGGTTGAGCATGCTGAGGAGTTTTAATAATCTAATTCCACATTCTTTATAGTAAACGTTTATTGTATGAGTTAGTTGTTTACTTACAACTTATTCTTAGTTAACAGACAGCACAATTGCCAGCTTGTGTTTTGAAATGACCTGTAAGTAATCCATTAGTAAACTTGCTAGCTAGCTAACTTACCACACAACATATTGGATGCATTTGACAAATGATTGGATTTATTTGGCTCATAATGGATTATGTTTAATAATGATCAAGTAATGATAGTTTCTATTTGAATATGATACAGTAAATGCAGCCTGACCAAATAATCCCTAGTTATTTTCAACAAGATCCCCATGAATTCCCGTGTAAAGTTTCCATCTTGGATATTCCCAGAACAACAACCCTAGAAGTGATTATGTAACTGATGCGTGGGTTAACCAATCTTGTTTCTTTTTGCCTGTGCCAGTACATGACGCATGTCTGGTGTGAATGAATAACCATCTCTGTGTTTATGTGTTCTGCAGTGATGTGTGGTCTCTGGGCTGCGTTTTGTACGAGCTCTGCACCCTGCGACACCCGGTACCTCCCCCTCCCTCCTATCTGCATGTTCCAAAGATTTGACTGTGGGCCTCTCTCTCCTCTATCGTTGTATAAAATACTTCTGCTGTCATGTTACTGCACAGTCAGATACTGCAACACGATGGAGGCCCAGTCTCTTCAGCTGAGTTAGATTACCGGCTGTCTATTTTTCGTGGCTCAGATGTGTATGGTTTGTTGTCCCGGATATCCTCACATCTCACCCTTGTGTCTAGTTCCAGGCATCCAGCTGGAAGAGCCTCATTCTTAAGGTGTGTCGGGGTGCGTACCCTCCCCTCCCCAATCACCTGCCCTACGAACTGCAGTATTTGCTAAAGCAGATGTTTAAGACGAACCCAAAAGACAGGCCGTCCATGCACAGCATCCTGACCTCCCACAGGGTTTCCAAACTCCTCCGTGCACATCTACCCTCCCAGGTACAGACCTAGCCCCCCTCTGTGCTCCTCAAAAACAGTTCACTGATCCTCCTACCTGCATGGTGACAGTCACTCAAACAGTTGAACCTGATGAAGTGATTTTACTGCTACCTATCCATCAGAACGACAAACAGTCATAACATGGTGTCAAAGTGAGAATTTAAACTCTTACACAATTTCCCCTGCTGTGGTGACCCTACGTGGAATCTGACCTTTGACAAGCTGCTGTTGGTTCAGATGGCCGCGGAGCTCGTGTTATGTGTTTGATTTACGGCAGGGCTTTGAATCTTTTACAGGCGCTAGAGACGCAGGAACAGGGGAGGCGGACGGCTCGATGGAAGAGAGAAGAGGGGAAGAAGGTGGCTAATCTTCTGGGAGAGAAGAGTTTGATAACAACGTCGACATTTGAAGGTAGAGTCCAAGTCGAAGTTAACAATTGGTTGCAATTGTGAGAGAACGACATCACATACGTTGTTGTGAAGAGTGGTTGGAGCATACATGTTATTGCAATTAGAAGGGAAATAAATCATGAATATGTTACGTGATTAAATGTCATGCCGATCTGAATCACAATTAAGATTTTGATCATTCTGATATGACCATTCTTTTAAAACAAATAAATATGTATCATCATGAGCACCTTCTCATTTCTCTCTGCTTGCTATTTCATCACCTGTAGATAGGTTTCCAAATCCTTTACATTTCCTTTTGTTTATTATTTGCTGCTCATATTTTTGTCCTTGCTCTTTGTGTTTTTATGCATGCACCGTCTACACAGAATACAAATGTTGATTTAAGATCATATAAGATAAGATGGAACTTTATTTATCCCCTTGGGGAAATTCTGGCGTTTATAGTGTCAGAATGAAAAACAGGATTCACACAAGGTAAAAATAAAAATCAAATTGAATATAATACAACACACAAAAAAGTGGTAAAGTAACTATTGAAACAATATTTTACAGTAAAAAGTTGAGTATTTGAGTATTGTTTACATAAGTGTACAGATGTGAGGGCAGGTTAAAGTCTTGTAAAAGGTCATTTATTGTCAGGACCTTCTTGAAAACGATTAATATAACAAAACATTCACCCTGAGTAACCCTTTCTCTCAGGCGTGGAGTTACATGAAGCCCACTCTGAAAGCAGAGAGCCGGGTCCTCGTAAGCAGTGGGCCGCGGGGCCCTCGGACACTGTGCTGCAGATGTTGGCCAACGCCAGCCTCGTCTCCTCGGACAGCATGGGGTCAACCTGCCAGTCCCTCACAGGTACTATTCGGGGGGGGGGGGAATAGAAGTTTCCCCTTGCTATTTCTAAAATCTTCTAAAAATTCAAGTTTAGTCACTAAATTCCTGTATCAGAGTTTATCAGCTGTGTCCTTGTTTTGTCCCGTGTATCAGAGGAGCCAGGGGACAGCCGGCAGAGGAGACGATGGAACAAGGATCCTCCAGAGACGCTTCTGAGTGTGTTGGAGAAGGCCCAGCTGAGCAGAGCCTTCAGCACCTTTTTAATAAACCCAGGAGGTCTGTTCATTTCTGAATATTTTGTATTTGAAATGGGCTAACATGATTTTTCCTACATTTCCTACAGTCATTTCCCTCTGATTGGAATACAGCTCCAGAAACAATTAAGAGACCACTCCAAATGTTTCTTAAATCTCAATGTCTACATGTATGGCAGACATTCCATTCTATTGTCTATTGAATTCAAACACAGATAACTGTTGTCAGTAGTTGAAAGAATAAACACACACCTTTAAAGTAAAACCAGAGAAACTGATCATTTCACAGTGATCTCTTAATTTTTTCCAAAACGGCATGTGGTTTTAGTGGGTGATATAATCAGTCCTCTGGTTTTCCATCTCCAGGTGAGGACCCTCTGGTGGGACCCCTCTCCCAGCGGCAGGGGGACCACCCTGATGGTCCTGAGCCTGAAGTGGCCTTAGATGAGGAGCGACTGCAGCCTCGCTCTGATGATGAGGACACGTGAGTAACCCAGATACAAAGCTGTGTTTGACATGACATTAGTAAGGCAAGGCAAGTTTATTTATATAGCACTTTTCAACACAAGGCAATTCAAAGTGCTTTACAAAAATGAAAGACATTCAGAGCATAAAACACATTAGAAACATTCAAAAGCAAAGATAATAAAACATGAATAACCCAGGAACATGAATAACAGTTACGGAGCGTCCACACAGCAGCGTGCGTTGACGCTTGGAGGTGGGCGTATCTGAAGCTTGGGGATTTTTTGCGAGCAACGCGACCAACAACCAATCACATGAATCTCCCGCCCCCGACATACAAAGCAATAGCAATGTTAAAACGAAGTAAACTGGATATAAAATCCCCAAACAGGCGAAAACCTACCAGTTTCACCCACTGTCTCTGCCACCTCCCTTCATGCCTCGCTCCTCCGGTTTGTATCCCGGTAGATGAACAGAGACTGATCATACAGCACCGGGTGATTCACTACCACTACAATGAACTTTCCCTCAATTTTTTTGAATATGAGGAAATGACCTGCGTAGTCTCTCCCAGCATACACGCGGTTTGATTGGCTAGCGCTTGTACTGGCAGATTTGAATAAACGGGATTTCATTGGCTGACGCCTCCGTCGAGGCGTCAAAAGTTGAACATTGCTCAACTTTTGACGCCAGCTACGCCAGCAACGCTCCACGTCGCTTCCCAAAATGCAGTTCGGCTTAAAGTGACGTCACCCCATTCAAAGTGAATGGGCAGAAGCGTTGGAAGCTTCAACGCACGCCGCTGTGTGGACGGGCCGTTACAGTGCAGTGTAAGATGTGAATAGTTTAATTAAAAGTAGCGGCAAAAAGAAAGTATTCGGCCTGGATTTAAAAGTAGTGAGAGTTGCAGCGGATCTGAAGGTTTCTGGTAGTTTCCAGATATTTGACAATATACCAAATGTTCACATTTCTCCACCCCTACTCATCCCATGAAATTATAGTTTTTTGACAGTTTTCTAACCTTTTTATATTCCTTTCATCCTTCTCTTTCAATCATTTTGCATCCCCAGACAACACATTTCCCCTGTTTTACTGTTACCCGAACCCATCTTTGACCTTTAAACCACTTTTTTAGTAGCTAGGAGTATATCACTATTCTAGACAGAAGAGAATTGTATTAATTGTAATTTATAGTTTAATTAAATATATATTTTTGGGTTTGTATTAGGGATGGGAATTTGAAAGCAAATTCGAATATTCGACCCCCAAAAAAACGGTTAGCCGATTAACCGAAATGTACATATCCTATAAAAAAAATAAAAAATCATTTTGAAAAATAAATAAATACATGTTCAAATAAGTATAGAAACCAAGTCGAATTTGTCAAATGTATTGAACTGGTGATCACAGTTTGAACAGTTGACAGCTATAGGCCTACAGCTTTCATGCTTAAAACATAACTTGGTTTTTAAATGAAAGAGGGATCAAACACGAACAACATAACCGGTTAGGTTAACGTAACCCTATTACAACAGAGATCAACAACCTATAACAGGGCCTATGCACAGAATGCAGCTATTCAATAGTCATTCTTGTTTAAGAATGTCTACATGCTCAGGGGAGAGGCGGGTGCAGAGGCCATTCACAATCAGGCCAGCTGTAGAGAAGACCCTCTCAGCTGGAATGTGGGCATAAGATGAGGTTTGAGTCTGCGTGACCTGCGTGTAGGGATGGGCAGCAGCCATATCATTAGCTAGAACTAGCTAGATCTGATGGATTTGGACATAAACACGAGTGAAGTATAACCAGACGCGAGAGAGAGATCAGCACCTGCAGCTCTGCCCGCTGTGAGGGACCGGTGAGCGGAGCAAAACACACCTTTAGACCTAACACATGTAGCTATGGCACTGTCGTATACATTTAATTATTCCATTTGATAATATGTAATCAACTTAGGCAGTACTCCCAAAGAAACATTTAAAATTACAATAAAAATATTCATAACTCATATTCTCATACCTGAATCATTTCTAATATTCGATTAATCGTCCCTATCCCTAGTTTGTATACATATGTATAATACTGTCTGTTTACATTTTTATTTTCTTAAAGAATCCTGTAAGCACTATTATTTTTTTGCTGATTTGGGAAAATGTTCATTCCTTTGCTCAGATTGAAAAACAAGTAATGCTGTTGTGTGTGATGTTTCAGGGACTGTTTAAAAAAAAAAAATGTAACCAGATTTTATGCAAATGGTTTAGGTTGTTTATATTAAAGACAGCTTTCCTACAATGAGATTTTAAAAATAGCAATATATCGCTTTGGCTCATACTTGTGTTTTGACAAAGTGTTTATGGGTGGGAAAGATATGATACTGAACCCATGTGTCTGTTTCCTTTATTTATCTTTATTTAAATATTTATGTTGCCAAAGATAAATTCTAACAAAATGTCTGACTCATTCTTTTTTGAGTTTCCAAAGCAGAGACATATTTAGATAAATAAATAAAATATTATCCACATTAAAATTCACATGAAATATGAATGTACAAGGAGAGGTTTGTATGAATCTCTGCTGGATATCCGTTCAATGTACGGAATGTCCTGTTTTTGTATGACCTCTCAGATGATAACAAAGTCAAAATGTGTCGTACTGTTTCTCCTTTCTTCACAGGGACTTTGAGGAAGAATATCCATGCGATTGGATGGATGAAGTTGAGAAAATGTTTTCAGAACACTAAAGTCTCATTTCTAACAGGATGCTTACACAATCACACTGTAAACAATCACTACAGACACTAACTGTTTGCCAAAATCATTTCACATCATATATATGAGACCAGGTCTGGATCTTTTATCCAAGTTTACAGAAACCCAGTTAAGCTCTAACAACACTGGGTTATTTATAGTGTATGTTTCAGGTGCTGCATTGATTTTTGTATCGCAAAAATACACTAAGTTCAAATTGTATACTGTTAAACTTGTTGTCGTAAAACCTCTTTTACATAAAGATATCTGAGTTGTGTGTGTGCTCTGTCTCTAATTGGATTTGAACATCTGTTCAGGTTACCAATGATAACATTCCCAGCAGAATGAGGCCGTCTGACGGGGGGCTTCTGTTTGGCTTGTCGGGGAAGCAGGAAGTATTAGACTCAGAGCAGCTGAGTCTCCAAGGGGTCACACCATTTTGTGCCCGCCCTCAACTTTTGATGTCAATTTCCGCTGCAATATCAAAAGTAGACTAAACATGTTGAGTCATCGGTATTCTTTGTGTTTTATTCTCTTTGCGAGACACAAGCAAACCCAACATCTGGACCCTTTAGCTGTTGTGTTATTTTTAAATGTCTGTGACCACTAATGGCTGACAGAGAGGGAGATGACTGCTCGTCTTTCATACAGCAAGTGTTCATTTTGTACCACTAGGTGGAGTTGAAATCACTCGTGTGAACCCTTGTTGTGGGCAGTAGTGAGAAATGTTTAGATCCTGGTTCAAATATAGATAAACTTTTGTTGAAATAATTCTGCTTGTTAGAATCTTATAGTCCAAAAAGTGCTCACCGTGCTTTTATGTGAATATAAGGGACTCTGCTCTTGGTTTTAAGAGCATAAATATATTTAATGAGAGGGGACAAGTTAGTCTTTGTTCTGCCAAATTAGAAGCTCTACATAATGGAGTAATTAAACAGCCAACTACATGTTTGGCAACAGTAAAACCAAAAGAATGCCACGCCCATGACCGTTTGGGCTCAACAGGATACATGTACTGTAGACCCTTGAGTCAACAAAACCATAATGCTGCTGATTCACCAACGGTCACACCAGGGATGGATTATCCTGCTGCCAAAGTTCTTCCAGGGACTGAACCTCCCCTCGGCTGACAGGAGGACTCTGCTATATGAGAGGCTTTTTCCAGATATCTGCCAGCGATGTGTTTAATTGAGGAAGCTCTGGTCCCTTATCATGAAGCCACACTGAATCCCCCTCCAGGGCTCACACCACAGACCCCTGCTTTTTTTTATTCCCACTGTGTTTCCCCTTGCCCCTCCAAAGATGTCCATGTTTAGTAAGGATACAGATTAAGTGGTGTCGCATAGCTGAGCTACAACACCCCCATGCTGTGTGTCCTGCAGATAGGAGGGTCTCCCAACAGTTTCACAAAGGGCTTGACTGCATCTCTCTAGCTTAGCCTTCTAATATTAACTGAGGAGTCTAAGCCTAATGGTATAATGAGGATTGGGTTATTAAGAGCAGTACAACATGTTTTTTGAGGGTTTCATTTATTGAATCAACTGATTTCTGGACAGCCTTCAGTATCAAGAAGTGTTAGGAATTGTAAGTTGGCATTAAATGTTCAGTCAGATTCTTATGTTTGATTATTTATTTAGGTGAAGGTCTTTATTAGACACTGATTCTTTCAGCAATTTGGCATTAAATAAAAAATATGCTGAAATGTATGTATGTACTATTCGACTACTCTGATATCACATTGACACCAGTGTTAAACCAAGGCCTTAATCCAAGTGTGGGGCGATGTTTGTAACACATTGTAATATTAGACATAATACATTTTGACCTAGAATGACTAACCTTGTGCAAGTAGCTAACAAACAACATTACAGTGAAAAAAATAGTACTATAGTATAAAGTGTTGTCTTTTTGTTGTGGTATTTTCCAAACTGTTTATAATTTCTTCATTTTTGTATCTGATTATTGAGATTCTATTCATATTTACATTATTCTCAGTGGCACTGATAAAGCAAGACAGATAGTCGGCCCACGTCGAGCCTTGAGTCACAGCGTCTGCTATTTTTTGGTAACAATTAACATAGACAGATTTTGTCATTAAAATATAATGACAGCATCTCACACTATGTGTTTTCTAAAAACAACACCAAAGACTCAGAAATTAGCATCCCTCATAAAGAAAAAAGATGATTATATCTTTGTGAATTTAAACACGATTGGTTTACGTAACATTGTGGGTGTTCAGGTTATTTAGTCCACCCCTTGTTGTCAGGTCTTTCAAGGCCAACAGTTCAGATAAAACTCAGAATCCTGACTGAACACTTTATGAAGTTGTACTTCAGATAATATAGAGCCATAGCAGCAGAATAACACAAGCTTCCTCTTGCAGGAAGGATATGAAGTTGTTTCTGTTGTATTTCAAAGGCTATAAAAGGTCATTACATATATTTATTTAAATAAATAGTGCAGCACTGCTACACCACAAAAAGTAGATGTAAGCTGTGAGGTTTTGACTGCATTGTTTTTCTTAACAAGTATAAGCAAAAACCACAAATGTCCCTGTTCTGTACCTCGCGTGCAAGCTGAGCAGCTAAAACCAAAATCTATGAAACTAAGGTCACACATCGTGATGACATTTCCTCTCCATTCTTTCTCTGTTCGCCTTACCTTGTCGTCTTACTCATTTGATAGCAGGCTACATCCTGTATTTCAGTATCTATTCAGAGGCACAGTGAGGCTGAATCTCCTGCCATTGCCCAGACACCTAATCTGAAGTACAACATTGATTTTCCTTTCTGCTCATCCTGGTGACCTGATAGTAGCTTCCCCTCTTATCAAAGGATGCACAAAAGACCTTTCATTTTGTCTATTTGGAAGTGGTCTGCACACCGCACACTGTCATCACCCTTAATGAAATATTGACACTTGTTATCTGCAACAATCTCCGTTCCCCTTTTGTTCGCCGGTCATAGTGCTTCTTTTTCTGGCCTGCTTTCTGAGCGCCTCTAGCTTCACACAGGAAGAGCGCTGCAGATGCAAGATGACCCAGTGAACTCCGTCTAGCTAGCCATGCTTCGAACGGCATTTTTAACCAGAAACCTCTTTCAGTGTTCTTATTCAGAGCAAACTGAGTTGTTTTAAATGTTCAGCTTCGTCATTTCTGCACTGTATTTGCGTTTTTAGGGAAACGTTTAAATCCACAGTGGTATCAACCACACACTGAGGGAAACAATGAAACCTGCTACCATGACTCACTCATAAAGAGAAGTGCTGTTTATTCTTCACGGGGAGCAGCTCTTCCTGTTAATAACAAAGCACTCAGGCGCTGCAGTTGGGAGTCTCTTTGCAACTATAAATACGGGAAATGTCATTGTTGTGATTATTTTAGGCCCTCTGCCTTGACCCTCCATTGTCTCCTGCATGTTTTTTGTAGCTCTGCACCAGACAATAGAAGAGCAGGGTTTGTCGTGGAGCTCCACAATTCATCGGTCGCTCACTGTACAAAAAGCTCATAGAAAAGGTTACATTTGGATCCCCTGCTATGTGAAGGGGGACAGTGCAGGTTATGTGGCCATTTGCAATTAAAGACTCTGCTATTGTTTGTGGCTCACACATTTGTCATCTCCTGAGGGGATGCTCCACCTTGAGGCCGGGTCACAGGCTCTGCTGCCTGTCCCTTTGCCACCTTTTCTCTGAGATAATAATACAGCAATAGCAGACTTTTCAACAGTCTTGAAAAGTTTTCCTTTTGTAGCTTATATGGATTTTAATTAAATCAAAAATAAAGAAAGTAGTATAGTAAGCAGAGGTAGGAAACACTGTAACTAAGTACGTCGTTTACACAACTTGAGTATTTCCATTTCAGAGGTAAATTGTGTATTTTTACATCATTACATTTATTTTGTACCTTTAGTTACTTTCGATTAATGATGAAAAATATACTCAACACTTAAATCAGACTTTAGTTTCACCTGGAGTAAATTCA